CCTCAGCACGGCAGGGGAACGGGGAGTTTCTGAAGGGGCTGGGCTGCCCTTCTCTGTCTGCAAATGTGTCAGCGCCAGCATCTCTGAGCGTCTGGCTCCGGGTGTCACCGCCGCCCAAGCTCACTACATATTCTAGTACGAAAACGCCATGTCCCTGGGATGAGAGCCATCCTGCCTGGTGCATGGGCCCAGGAGCGTGCTCACAGCTCTTTACAAGCCCGCCTGGGGTTAGAGCCACAGAGCTCCGGCCATTAGCCACCTGTCTGGTGTGTTTGATGATTTACCCATGGCTCCGCAGATGGACGGTTCAAAGAAAAAGGTTTGAATAACGTGGGGTCTAAGGCCCTGTCCAAATGCCTCTGAAATGAAGGAGATCTCTTGTACTCTGCCGCTGTCAGAAAAGCACTGGCCCCCATGGGCACCAAGGTAAAGTCGGCTGCAGGGGTCCTCACCTGCTCGCTCGACCTTTGAACAGTGCCCTGTGGAGTTGCTCCGGCCTCTGTTCAGATTAAAATGAGACCTTGGTGTGCAGACAGGGTTCCCACCTGTTGTGTCCACTATGGGCCTAGGAGGTGCTGCCTGCCGGCGTGTGCGTGAGAGTACAGAAAACTCAAGTCCCGAAATGCCAAGAGCATCCCTACAGTCCCTTCCTCCGTGCACCTGTCACCTCGTTGCCTTCTCTCAAGGGACCAGCGCAGCGTAAAGGCCGAATAAGCAGAGGAAGTTGATGAAGCTTCCATATGTTTGGGAATGTGTGTGCCATTTCCAAAAGGAAGCGCTCTTCCCTCCTCTCACTGGTCTCTAGCTTCACTTCCTCTCCCCCAGTCCAGTCAGCCGCCCTGCCCTTGTCCCTGTCCAGTGGGGTCCTTTCTTCCTGTAGTTGGCTCTCTAGCACTAGGTGGGCAGGGCATTTCTAAGTGCTCCCCCTTCACCTGTGCTCCTGGAGGCTCCTTGTGAGATACCGCTGTCCGGCACATGGCATGGGTGGCACTCAGCAGTCCTGATTCTCATGAAGTTAGTTTGCCCTTCCCCCTTTGGGACCAGAATTTCAGGTAATGATTAAAAAACCAACCCTACCTCACTGCCAGCAAGTCATTGCCAACTCACAGCGACACTACAGGGCAGGATAGAGTTTCTGAGATGGTAGCTCTTTATGAGTAGGAAGTCCTGTCTTTTTCCCAAGGAGCGGCAGGCAGATCACAGCCCAGCACATAACCGCTATGTCACCAGGGCTCCTCTTAAGTAATGAATGCTACGAGAGATAAAAAACAACTTCTCTTGGCCAAGCCCTGGCTGGAGGGTGTCCTAGCCCCTGGCTTTGGTTCGGCTCTTCCTGAGTTACAGGGCAGTGGCGGGCAATAGGGCGGTGTTTAATCATTTCATCCTACTTCCTGCAGCCCTGGTACCGGAGGAGTAGCATGTTGGCTTGCAAACTGCAAGGTCAGCAGTTCAAAACCACTGGGTGCTCCTTGGTAAGAGAGGCAGGGCTTTCTACTCCCTTAAAGAGTTGCAGTATCAGAAACCTGTCTTATCGGGTCCCCTATGGGTTGGCATTAACTGGGTGGCAGTGAGTTTGGGTTGGGTGTGTTGGTATGGGCATTGGTGACAGGAGGGGTGAGTGAGCAGGCGCCATGGACTCTGGCTGAGGCCTGACATGCTGGGGTAACTTCCCAATTTTCTCCTGCCCCACCCCCTGCTGGCAGGGAGTCTGCTACACCTCTTGGGCAGGAACTCAGGATCAGCTCTTCTTGCCTCCTCACTGGCTGGACTAAGAAAGAAAACTCCAATTTGGAAGTTGAGTAGGTAGATGGGAGAAGAGGCTTGCAGGATTGCTACCCTGTTTCCCCGAAAATAAGACAGTGTCGACTCTCTCTCTGCCTCGCTCAATCGCACTCACTGTCTCACTCACTGCCTCTCACTCTCA